CGGGAGGCTCCCACGGTCCCCGCTGGACTCGAGCTGACCCGGAGACCGTGGGGTGGCCGCGCGGACTCGCATGGGCCGCGGCCTAACCGTGGTGGGCGTAGTTATCTCCGCGGAGTCCTCTTCGCTATGCGATGCGAAGGCCTCGGGCGCGACTCGGGGACCCGAGAGTGGCCGGGGCCGAGCAGGATGGGCAGGCACGCTCCCCTCTCCACCCGTGGGCCTCACCCCTGCAGTCGCCTGGGGTTCCCCATGGCGCCTGCGTTGTGATTGGCAGCCCTTCAGTAGCGTACACTACAGATGACACGGAACTTTCTAGAGGAGACCGGCCCTTCTCTAGAAAGGGGTTTTGGGAACAACTTGTGGTCTGCCGGAACCTGAACACAGCCCCCGAAATGGGGAGAAGGCCCCCGTGTCACTGAGCTGTTAGGAAGGGGCTAGCACCCCTCCCCCGGGGTGGTGTTGTAGCAAGCTTTATTTTATACCCTTCATCAAGGAGCTGCAACCGGGTTTGACCTTTTAATTTAAGCCACCAGTTTTTGCATGTAGTTTATTATATCTGGAGTGGTAAATTCAGAATTAATATGAACGGAGTTTTCGTTAAAAAACAGGAGGGAGCTGAGATCTGTACTATGATATTTTAATTGGCATCTTAATTGTTTAATGAGTTGATGGCTCTCATATATAGAGAGATATATAGAGATAGATAGATAGATAGATAGATAACAGTTTGAGGGGAAAGGACAAAGTGAAAATGAGGAGAGACCTAAAACCCCAGTCCTGATAGTGTCTCAAAAAATCTGGACAAACCCTTCATGCAAGTCTTAGGTTTTACAAATGGGGTTACAGGGCCAAAGAAGTTACTGGTTATGATTGGTGGTCTTGTCACTAGTGATAAAATTTATTACCACATTTAGGCTTGTGAAATAACTAGAATAAAATCATGAGGTGTAGGAATGACTAGGTCTCAGAATCCCAGAATCCATTCAAAGCAAAATCAAATGCAGAGCTTTATTTAAAGTTAATGCTACAAATATTTCTTAATGCCTATGGTACATAAATATAAGTTAAATATGGTCCTGTCTTTGAACAAAAAGTTGCTGGGCATGGTGGCACAGGCCTTTAACCCCAGTGCTGGGAGGCAGAGGCAGGTGGATCTCTCTCTACTTCTCAAGTTCCAGGCCAGGTGGGGGCTACTGTCTCAAAAAAAAAAAAAAAAAAAAAAAAAAAAAAATTAATGGTAGAGAATATAGTTTCACCAAAAGAAGAAGCATTAGAGATCTAATTGATCTAATTGGAATGGTAACCTTTGAAAATAGTCTTCAAAGACTTAAGATTTCAACAAATTTAGATAAGGAACTGAGAAAGTAGTTTTTAAAAAATATATGTTATTTATTATTTTGTGTCTTTAGTGTTTTGCCTGCATGTATATAAGTGCACCACGTGCACACAGTGTCCAGTGGAGGTCATAAGAGGGTGTCAGATCCTCTGGAACTGGAGTTAAGGACAGTTGTTAGCTGCCATGTGGGTGCTGGCAATCAAACCTGGGTCCTCTGGAAGAGCACCAAGTGTTCTTAACCACTGACCCACCTCTCCAGCCCCCAGAAACTAGTTTTTAAATAACTTCTCATTTTAATTAAGGCTTATATGCTGTGCAACTCTTTAAGCGAATGTCAGTTTATTAATTTGTATGGCAGCCTAGCAGAATATACATCTCTGCCTTGAAGTCGGCATTAATCCCTTGGGACTAGTGAATGTGGCCCTCCTGCATACTCACAGTACCTGGATGGGGTCCAGATCTAGTGCTTGTCCTGTCTTTGCAGCCTCCGAGTAGAGAGCAAGTGTCTTGAGGTGAAGACCTTGTCCATAACTGAATCCCAGTACCCAGGCATTCTCCTCATACTTGAGTGTGAGTGAAGAGTTAATAAAATTACGTTCAAACAAGGACCTAGCTAAGAAGTACCATTGTTTGTCAGGGAATAAGTGTTTTTAACATGGTGAATTTTCCCAGGCCTGAAATTATTAAAGTAAAGGTAATTACTACAGATGCTTTGGTAAAGACATTGCTGGTGAGAGGGTAAGGCAGCTATTGGGGTTTTCATCTCCTCAGACTCCTTTGAAGTTCTTTCAGGAACTAAAAATTTTTGTTTCTGTTCTTTGTTTCTAACTGATAAAAATATTGAATGTACTCTCATGGTGTTTACATCTTGATGTCTACCACTGCCCCCCGCCAATCATACTTCTCCTAATCCTGTGAACAGCCCTACACCCTTTCCCTGGTTAGCCACATGATCCTTATTTTGTACTTTAAAAACTTTTGTGGCTGGGGATGAAGCTCAGTTGGTAGAGTGCTTGTCTGGTTGCACAAAGCTCTGGGTTCAGGGTCAGCACCGCATCATCCCAGCACTCAGGAGAGGAGATAAGAAGGTCAGGAATTCAGTGTCGTCCCTGGCTACATAGTGATTGCAAAGGATATGACACTCTGAGAAACAAAAAGCAGCTGGCCAAGTATTCATCACTTGACCTACCTAAATTGATACTCAAATCAAGGCAGTTTAGACATTTACTTAGAAGAAAACATTTTGGTTTGGGTTTTGAGCCCCAGGTGGTCTGGAGGTTACTATGTGGACCGGGCTGGCCTCAGTCTTGAGATATCTGTCTGCCTCTGCCAAGTCCTGGGATTAAAGGCATGCGCCACCACGCCCGGCTGTGAAAACATTTCTTTTTAAGACTATAAAAGATCAAAAATAGCAAAAATCTCTCTGGTCCAGTATTGAGTATATTTAACAGGTAACATGAAAAGACCACCTAAGACTTTACAGTTTGTGCACGTTTGCAAGATTGTTATCTGTGCTGTTGATAAAGCTTTACTGTTGTGCAAATAATTTTTTGTGTTTGTGTTTTCAGATCTGAAGGGATAAAATAACTCATCTCTAAAAGAGTATTCCCTAGCATTTGAAATGCTTTTTATGTAGAACAGTAGTAAAAATGGAAAAAGAGAAACTAAGTGATGATGGAAAACCAGACCCAGAAAATCCTTTGGACTTTTCTGAACAGTTAAACCAACTTGAATTGCTGGAAACCCATGGGCACCTGATTCCCACTGGCACTCAGAGTCTCTGGGTAGTCAATTCCGATGAGGACGAGGAGCAAGATGAAAGGAACGAGGAATGGTATCAACTGCAGGAGAAGAAGATGGAGAATGATCCTGGCAAATTGCTGCTTTGGGCTGCTGAAAAGAATCGGGTAACGAAAACAAAAGCAAAACGTCCTTACACAGTAGTGAAGTCATCCTTCGTCTCTGAGCAGATCACACTATTTCTTTAATTTCTTGTCTGTAAAAATGGCTGTGATAATATCTGTGTCTCATGTAGGAATGTGAGAATCAAGGGAAGTAGTGTCCATGAAGCACTTAACTACGTGACAAACTGCCCATAGATATTTGGAGGTTTAAGGCTAATTAATAAAGAAACAATTAGTGAGTCATTAGGATCATCCTTCAGGTAAGTATCACTTATCATTTAGGATAAGACAGAAATGAACATTTATCAAATACTAACTGCACCAGGTGCCCACCCTACTGTTGTGTTACTGGGGTCTCATATTCCTACCAGGAAGGTAAGATGATTTTGCACAGGATCATCCAAGAAGCATTAACACCAAAAATCAATTCTTCCCACTTGGCCACATCTACTTAATTTTATTACTTAGTTTTCCCATGGGTCACAGAAAGGGCTTTGCACTGTCTGTTAGCTTTTTGAATCCCAGTGCACACTGCAGGCCACCAAAAGTCCACAGACCAAACCCAGACTTGCTGTCCAGTGGCCTGTCTAACCTTATAGAAGGAATTGAGCTCTTCAATCTCTATATCGCCACAGCGCTGTTCTAGTTTTTAAGCTCATACACTTTGTATATTGATATAATCTATTATAGAAAAATTAGTTATGCTTGCTTTACAGATGAAATATAAATAAATATAGCAGCTATTGTTCATCCACTGCCAAAGCTTTGAACAGTAAGCCTTAATTAAATCAGAACAAACGTCTGACTTGATTTTCAGAAACTCAGATTTTTAGAAGTACCTAAGTATAATGAGCAGTAGCTGTTTCTTACTAAATCAGTTGCCTTCTCCCTCCACAAATAAAATCTTAGCATCCAAAGGCACCGGACAGTGTAATTATCTTTGTTCATGGGTTTGCTTTGAGCTGGATTTTAAGTTTTCTCCTGTCCCCTCAGCTTGCTACAGTGCAGAGGCTGCTTTCTGAGAAGGCCACTCAAGTGAACACGAGGGATGAGGATGAGTACACCCCTCTTCATCGAGCGGCCTACAATGGACACCTGGACATTGTCCGGGAGCTGGTAGCACAGGGGGCGGATGTTCACGCAGTGACTGTCGATGGCTGGACACCCCTGCACAGTGCTTGTAAGTGGAACAACACCAGAGTGGCCTCTTTCCTTCTGCAGCACGACTCAGACATCAACGCTCAAACAAAAGGCCTCTTGACCCCTTTGCATCTCGCTGCTGGGAACAGAGATGGCAAGGACACCCTGGAGCTCCTCCTGATGAACCGCTACATCAAGCCGGGGCTGAAGAACAGCTCTGAGGAAACTGCATTTGATATCGCCAGGAGGACCAGCAGCTATTACTACCTCTTTGAAATGGTGGAAGATTGTACAAACTCTACACCTCCATCTTAATGGTTCTAGAAACTTCTTAGGCTTCTAAGTACCAGTGCCTCCTTTGTATGCGATATAAAATGTTTCCATAATACAGAGTCAACATCAGATGTCTCTACAGAAATTCTGTTGTACTCATCGCAGTGTTCTTACAAGTGACCTCCCGACCTCGATGTCAGACGTATTTGAAAGTGTTTGAAAGCATCTTTAGTGATTTCTATGGTGTTTGTGGTTTTCATCGCAAGTAACTTACGTATACTTAAAAACTTGACACGGGTAGTTCAAAAACTAAGTCTATTTTTGGTGCTGATCCAAGAGAAATGTATTTTTCAATATCCCACATCCTGGGTCTTTGTTGAGTGTTTACTATACTGCCTGTATTTTTCTAAACTAACCCCCGATTTTCCAGTATTCAGCACCTGGTGCAGTCAGCTTCCCACATCATCCCAGCAGCGTTAAACCAGAAACACTGACACAGAAATATTGAAAACCTAGATGTTTTGTTTTTTAAGATGTAGGCCATTCTGAGGCAAGCTGTTAGCAGGGCGTTTAAACCTTGATGTCTGACACTGCCTACCCGCCTACCCCATCATGCTTCTCACAATCCTGTGGACAGTCCTACCTCACCCTGGTTAGCCAACAGGATCCTTTTTGGGACCGGTCAGTGTCTTCACTTAGACATGCACAGAACTACCTTGATCCCCGTGATGGTAATGTATCTGCCCTCTGAGTGGCTCCCTCGCCTCTTTGGTCACTACTGAGTATAGACTCTTGAGTTCCTAGAAACATTGACATCCCATACCTCCAAGCAGGGTCCTCCTCGTTCTCTACAAACTGTGACTAAGGGAAGGTGAGAAGTGGGGAGATGATTATCCTATGGGATGAGAACACCAGGCTCAAGCTTTCTTACAGACAACTAATATGGACAGTGACCAAAAGCATAAATACAAATAAAGTACAAGTTTTGACAATGCAGAAGGCATGAATTCTTGTTTTTAACTTGAATATAACTTGGTTGAATCCACAGCACATTTATTCACAGTACATTAGCATGTACCTTAGTCCCCCCAGCATCATTTTTGATTGACTCTCTAGCCCCTCTGACCATTCTGAAGGTTCTCAACAAGAACTAACATCTTAGGGAAAGGACACTCTTCATCACTGACTTGACTAAGCATGGTAACATGTGTAATCCCAGCAATGGGGGGTGGGGGGCAGACAGGAGAACCCGGGGAGCTTGCTAGCCAGCCAGCCTAACCAAATATGAGAGATCCCTGTTCAGGGAGAGACCCTGTCTCAAGTCATAAAGTGGGTAGTGGTTGAGGAAGACGTCCAGCATCCACCACATCACCCCGTGGTCTCCACGTCCACCACATCACCCCGTGGTCTCCACGTCCACCACATCACCCTGTGGTCTCCACATCCACCACACATGCTCTTTTCCCTTAGATTTTGTTCAGTATTCCAAATATCCATTACTGTAATGGTTGGTTTTAAGTGTTGATGTCACACAATCTAGAATCACTTCCGAATAGAATCTCGGTGAGGAATTGTCTAGATCACTTTGGCCTGGGGACATGTCCAGTGGGGTTGTCCTGTTCATTGAGCCAAGAGACCCACCCATTGTGGGCAGTACTATTCCCTGGGTTTGGGGCCTGTCCTGTCCAAGTGTGGAGGGGGCTGAGCACAAGCGTGCATGCGTTCATGGCTCCGCTCTTGACTGAGGATGTGATGGGCCCAGCTGCTTCAACCCAAGCTGCCACCTTGACTTCCCACAGTGATGGACTGTGACCTGAACTGGGACTGAAATGAGCCCTTTCCTCCCTGAGTCACTTTTTCAGGTATTTTATCACAGCATCAGAAGTGTGTGTTTTAAAAATTAGGAAATCAGGCTGGAGAGATGGCTCAGTGGTTAAGAACGTTCTTGCAGAAGACCCGGGTTCAAATCCCAGCACCCACATGGCAGCTAACAACTGTCCATAACTCCAGTTCCAGGGGATCCAACGGCCTCTTCTGTTCTCTGTGGACATTGCACAACATGGGTGCACTTACCTACATGCAGGCAATACACGCGTACACACAAAATAAAAATAATTTAAAAAAAATTGGGAAATTGTTGATCTACTTTGTATTTTGTTGATGAGTTCATTTAAACAAAGTCAAAATGGGGCTAAAATGAAACGATGGCTTTCCAGCACTAGGTGTTTGGAAGAAAAACCTTCTTCCCAGTTTGACTGCTGGGATATTCACCCCTTAGGTCACATGATTTTACTATTAGAAAATTCTAAATTCTTTGTATCATTAGTGGAGATTATAGCCACATCCTTATTTTTGCTAGTTTTCAGTCATTAGAAATGTAAATTTTTTTTGGTCTTTTTGAGACAAGGTCTCCCTGTAGCCCCAGCTGTAGAAATGTAAATTTTTATTACATTATTGAATAAAATTGCAATGACTTTCACACAGGCTTTGCTTTTAGAAAGAGAACAAGATTTACCCACAAATAATTACATGCCACTAGTTGGTCTGCCAGTACTCATAACAAGAATGATAGTTTATGTGGTTTATGGTAGTTTTGAAGACACAAATTATCAGGAGAAAGATTTTTGAAAGTTTAGTAGGTATTTTTAAATGTGATGACTTATATCTATATTTTAAATATATATGCCACATACCTGCATTTGAAATAGGTATTATATGTAGGACACAAATAAATGTATTTATTTGATTTCCCCTTCCATGATAAATTCCATGCTTTTAACTTTTGTGTGTTTTTTTTTTCACTTTTTATAGTGGGATGAGCACTTAGCATGAACTTTGCCCTCTTTAGAACAGTGTTGCTGTCCACACGCACGGTGCCGATTGGCAGGCCTCTAGAACTTGGTAATTTTGCAGAACTAAGACATTGTTCCCACCGAGCATCTCCCTGCTTCTTGATTGTGGTGGTAGTTAGGTAGATGACTTTAAAAACGATTGCGTTCCACAGGCCTTTGTAGAATGCAGTTCTGGCACCCACAACATACTTCAATGACTGTGATTTCTTATATGGTTTTCCTGAGACAGACTGGACCCCACGACTGTCCTGCAGAGTGCTGGGATTACAGGGGTGTGCCACCACACTCAGTTTCAGTGGAGATGATTTTGGCAGGTAGGTATCCCAAGATGACTGATTTTATGTAGCACAGAGGGACATGGGATGGTCTCATCCACAAATTCTAGGGGGCATATTTTCATGGATGCTTTTGCACCTGTGAGTTATCAAAAAATACGTCTTCCTTGGATGGTAGCACACGCCTTTAATCCCAGCACTTGGGGCAGAGGCAAATGGATCTCGATGAGATTTCTGCCAGCCCAGTCTATGTTGAAAGTTCCAAGTCAGCTGGGGATACAAGGGATTTTTTTTTCTCAAAAAAACCCAAAACAAACCAACCAACAAGAACAACAAAAAAATTACATTTTTTAATCAATTCCCTGGAATTTTTAAGTTCTAAGCAACAAGCCCTCTGTAAGGAACAGTTTCTCCATCAACTGATAGAAGAGCAATTAAAGCAATTGCCCCAAATTTAAACCATTTGGAAATTTTGCTGGAGACAGCTGGACATACCTGGGAAGAGGAAGCCTCAGTTAGAAAATTGCCTCTATTGGACTGGCCTATGGCCAGGTCGCTGAGGCATTTTTTCTTTTTATTTATATATTTTTAAAATATGAGTGTATTGCCTGCATGTATGTGAGTGCACCCATGTCCTGCAATGCAGCGGAAGTCAGAAGAGGCCTTCAGATTCCCCTGGAACTGGAGTTAAGGACAGTTAGTAGCTGCTATGTGGGTGCTGGGAATTGAACCCGGGTCCTCTGCAAAAGCAGGCAGTGCACTCAACTGCTGAGCTATCTCTCCAGCTCGTGAGGCATTTTCTTAATTGCTAATTGATATGGGATGGCCCAGCCCATTGTGGATGGTGCTGGCCTGGGGCAGGTGCTCCTTGGTTGTATAAGAAAGCAGGCTGAGCACCAGCTGTAGGAGCAGCCAGGAAGCAGTTCCTCTGTGGTCTGTGGTTCCGTTGCTGCCCCTGGGCTCTTGCCCTGCTTGTGGTCCTGCCTTGGCATCCCTCAGTGATGGACTGACTTGGAAGAGTGAAGTCCCCAACTTGCTTTTGGTCCATGTTTTATCACAGCAATAAAAAGCAAACTAATACAGAAATATCCAGTAAATTTGAAGCAGTGGTTTATTACTATAGAAGAGGAATTGTTTGGCCTTTAAAATAATTTAGGTTAAGGCTGTTGGACTGTAGATAGGGCCCTGAAGTAGGAATCTGCTTCTCTGAAGAGATAATAATATCAAAAAATATCCTGTTAATTTTTCAGTTATTCAAATTGTAAGCAGGCAGGTATGATTTCTTGAAATCTGTTCTAAATCTAAAGAATTAAACACAGAATGTAAAACATCCTCCTAGATTTTTACTAAAATAATATTAAATGTTAATATGTTAACTTTGATAATATATTAGCTTTTTATTTCTAAAGACTTTGTGTTTTCACATTGAATGTTTTAAAACTCTTTTAGAAGTTTTTAAAAGACTGAGTCTTCTGCCTGCACATATGTCAAGGGCATGATGTACATGCAATGCCTGTGGAGGCCAGAAGGGGGTGTTAAAGTCCCTGGAACTGGAATAAGAGTGAGTGCTCCAGAGCCCAGCCAGCTCTCCAGCCATATTGAATATACATATAAATTTTTTTTTTTTTTACAAGGAAGATTTGATCTGGTGTTTGCCTCCCTCTAGTGGGCATTTTGGTGTTTTTCATTTAATTTTTAAAAAAGGATAAGCCAACTACTTTTATTGTCCATTTTGTTTTTTTAGTATAAAAGAACCAATAGCTAAAATAGTATACTTTATACTTACCAATAATTTATATCCAAGAGAACTTGAAGTAGCATACACATGTGGTAACTGGAAATTTTAGATAAAAGCAGTTGGGCCTGGTGGTGCCTGCCTTCAATCCCAGCACCAGGAGGCAGAGGAAGGCAGATCTCTGTGAGACTAAGGCCAGCCCGGTCTATGTAGGGAGTTCCGGGCCAGCTGGGGCTACAGGTAGACCTTGTCTCAAAGAAAATCAATAAATAACATGTCAAAGTCATAGGTAGGAGGAAATAAACCACTTAAATTAATAGTTACTGCAACAATTAGCTCCAAATTTTTGATGTTGGAGAAAAGGAAAAAACAATAATTGTATAAATCAGTATTATTTGATCAGATAAATGAACCGCATTGTTCTTATGAGTAAAACAATGCTTTTTAAACATATTTTATAAACAATAAAACAAGCTTATTTTTTCTAACATATTTTATGCTTGTTATAATTTGTAGAGATATGCCATGTCTATAACAAAATTTAGCAACCCTGATAAACCATACAAAGTGAACAAACCGTGTAACTACCACTCAGATCAGAGTGAGGAAAGGAGCCAGGGTTCCCAAAGCCCACTTTGCACTCCAGCGTTTCCTTAAAGGAAGCCTCTGTTCTGACTTCATCGCCACTTGTGAAAAGCTTGTGGAAATAGTGAACACTCAAATAATGCACACTTAACTTTTGTAAGATTAAGGTCACATTTTTTAGTGACTGTAAAAAGAAAAACAAAACTAACCTCTGTTCCAAACAAACTCTCAACTATGTGACTCCCTCCTCTAATTTTCCTGTGAGATTGTGTGACTTGACATAACAAGGATTCTGAGTACAAAAATCCTTGGAAACCAGTTATTTCATGATGCGTGAGAGCCCCGAAGTTGGGAATCTTCGTTGATTCGAGGATGCGTGGAAGGCGGGAGGCCACGGGTCTTGGGACCTGGCATCCCTGGCATCCCTGGGATCCTGCTGTGTAAACCGGCACACCTTTTCTGTCCGGTCGGGGACCGGTGCCGGGCTGGGCACTTTCCCACGCCTTGAAGCTCGGGTTTCTTTCTGGCTCTGCCCCTGAAGAAGCTGGTCCTCCGCGTGGGTCGGGGAGAGAAGCGGGCAGAGCGCGGGAGACCAGGAGCATCGCCGTCACCATGGCGACCGCAGACGCCTGGCGTTCCGGCGCAGCCGGTGCTGAGCAGAGACGGCCCGGAGACCCGGTGGCATGAGGCGGCAGGAGGCGCTGGGGACGCCGGCGGGGACGGCCGAGGCCACCGACCGGGAGCAGCCGCGGCCCGCCGGGCTGGGGAGCCGGGTGTGCGCGGAGCCGGGCGGCCCGGAGCCCCGCCAGCCCCGTGAGTGCAGCCTCAGCCCGGCCCAGGGCGGGGGCCTGGGGACCCCGGTGTGGGGCGGAGGGTGGGGGGCCGCTGCTTGGCGGAGGAGGACGTGGTGGCCGGGAGCGCCCTGCCTCCAGGGGCTGGCACCGACCACCGCCCTCACCGAGGGCTGGCACCGACCACCGCCCTCACCGACGTCTCCGGAGCCCCGGCCCGCTCGCCCCCAACTGAGCTGGTCCGCGATGGCATCGATTTTTAAAATGAACGCGTGTGATTAACACAGACACACGTAGTTGAGGATGCTGGGGACATAGCTCGGTGTAGGTCGCTTGCCCAGCATGCTCCAGGCCCTGAGTTCAGTCCTCTAAAAGATAACGAAACTTCTTGTCTGAGAACGAGAGGGAAAGACGCCACCTGCCCCTCCCCAGACATTTACAGTTACTTGTATGTAGTACCTGCCCCGTTTGCATGTTTGTGTGTGCACCTGCTGCCTCCGGTTATATGTTTATGTGTGTATGTGTACAGACACACAGAACATGTCCATCCTTTGTTGGGTTCCTTCATTCCCAAATCAGGAAACTGAGCAGAGGAAAGGAAGTGGCTTGCCATCATTAGCCATCGCTGCAAAATACTTAAACCCTTGCACACTGGTGGTGCACACTTTTAATCCCAGCATTTAGGAGGCAGAGGCAGGCAGATCTGTGACTTCAAGGCCAGCTTGATCTCCATAGGGAGTTCCAGGTCAGCCAGGGCTACGATGTAAGACCCTGTTCTTGAACTACCACAACACCACATTCAACTCTTGTCACTGGGACTCCAAGTCCATAAATCATTATCTGATCCTTTTAGAATTTCACACTGCAACTCTCTGGCTTGCTTTCTGTCCACTGAATATACAAACAGTATTCAAATCAGTAAAGACAGTTCTGTTCTGAGCTAGTTGCAACTTGATTCCTGACCAGGTTGCAAATATTTCACAACCCCCTTCACCTGCTGGGTCTTCAGCAGCTGGTGAGGAATGAGGGTAAAATAACAGGGCCATGGAGGAATGCAAGCACCTTCCAGTCCTGCACACAGCCTCCTTGATTGCCTCTCTGGGGACCAGTCTAAGTGTCTGGAGGGAGTTCCCTCTGCCCTGCGGACCCCAGGAGGGAGCATCAGGCCCAAGCCCTCAGGACTTGTGCTTCAGCTCTCCCAACCCCAGACCTCATCTAGCAGTCATGGAACCCCCGCCTGGTGGCTAAGGGTCCCCTTCCCTCAGCCACAGTGTGATCGTCATACCTCACTTCTTTTATTATTGCCAATAGCAACGACATTCCTCACTTGGAACAATTAAACTCTGTGTATTTTGGAAATGGAGATGTCTTCTATTTAAAATTCTACTTGCAACTTTTCCATTAAAATATTATCTACCTGGATGTTATAGGCACACACCTTTAATCCCAGCACTTGGGAGGCAGAGACAGGTGGATCCCTGTGAGTTCAAAGCCAGTCTGGCCTACATAGCAAGCTCCAAGCCAGCCAGCAGTACGTAGTGGGACCCTGTCTCAAAGTGCATCTAAATGTTCTTTAGTCCTGGAATAAAATAACCAGTGTAGGAGTGAAATGTAGACTTTTCACTCTTTTACCACTTGATTTAATATGTGTCGAGTCTTTCCTACATGCCAGTGCTGGGCAGGTCACAGAGCAGTGATGAATTACTATTGCAGGTGAGCTTCACCAGCTCAGTCAGGGGAGGACGTACTAATGGTTTGGGTCTCAGCTTCCCTGACAACCGCCTCTTAAGGCCTCAGCCTGAGTCAAAGTCAGCTTACAAATGTTCCTCATCACTGGGAGAGTCTTCAGTCTCTCCATAGCCTCAGCTCCCACTCATAGATTGCTTTCAAATACACACAGGTGAGGGAGTGGGATGCTCAGTCAAGTACTTGCCTGTGGGCTCCTGAGTTTGATCTCTAGAACCTGTGTGCATTACTTTTTGTCACTGTGATAAAATGCCATGACTAAAAGCAACTTGTGGAAGAGTTTATTTTGGCTTATGATTCTAGAGGGAGGGTCCACCATGGTGGGGAGGTGTGGCAGCAAGTGGCCAGAGCAGGAACACCAAGTAGAAAGCGAATGGGGGGCAGCTGGAAGTGGGGTGAGGCTGTAAAGTCTCAAAGCCCACCCCCAGTGACATACTTCTTTCAGTAAGCTCTGAGTCCTAGGTTCTATAGCTATAACTTCCCCAGACCGCCACCAACTGGGGACCAAATATTCAAATACATGAGCCTATGGGGGACATTTCTCATTCAAAGCACTGTACCATGTACAAGCTGGATGCAGTGGTGTATACCTGCAATCCCAGAACTGAGGAGGTGGAGACAGGCAGATACAGGGGCCTACGAGCCAGCCAGTCTAGCTGAATTGGTGAGCTACAGGTTCAGGTAGAGAGCCTGTCTCCAAAAATAAGGTGGAGAGTGATTGAGAAACACATCCAATGTTGACCTCTGACCTCCACACTCGCAAACATACACATGCACCCACACAAAAAACACATGCACTGACTTCCATACAGCTGGCTGTTTGAGCGCCTACCAAATCAAACACAAAACCAGTTGCACCTTGAAATTCATTTGCAGTGCCCTCTGCTGACTGGCCTCTTCAGGCATTGCCAAGTTGACTAAAGCAGCTAAGGCAGAATTGTAAGCAGGATCTGGTTAGAAAGCATGGTGTGAGTACAAACTTGACCTGAGAACCACACCGTGATTAACTGGATTCTAGACAGTGTTAGCCATTTAGCTGACATTACGTTATCCACAGAAGACAAGTGTCTGTCCCCTTCTCCGTTCAGGGCTCCTGGAAGGTTTGATTTGGGCCCTTTCAAATCTGTAGTTAAACATTTGTTTGCTCCTAAATACAAGTCATGATATCCATCCCCATTGATGCCGCTGTGTGTGTGGGTGTGTGTGTGTGGGGTGTGTGTGTGTGTGTGACTGTGTTTACCATGCGTGAATGGGGGTTGACATAGGATGTCTTCCTCTGTGCGCTCCACCTTATTTTTTGAGTCAGTCTGTCCTTGAACCTGGAATTCATGTACTTGGCTAGGCTGGCTGGCCAGTGAACCCTTCAGGATCCACCTGTTTCCACCTCTCAAGTGCTGAGGTTGCAGGTATGACCTGAGCACTTCACCATCGGAGCCAGCCCCTGGCTTCTGGTTTTTATGACTTTAGCTTTATAACCCAGGATGTTGTTTTCTTGATTGTAATAATTACACTTGCCCACAGGTAATTTTGGGAATGAGAAACGTGTAAGATGACTAAGGCATGATAACATTAAATAAATGATAGCAACTGTTAGCAGTCAACAAAAGAAAGCCTGTAAAAACAGTTTTCAGTGGTGCATGCTGGTGCAGACCTTTAATACCACCAGCACTTGGGAAGCAGAGTCAGGTGGATTTCTGTGAGATAAAGGCCAGCCTGGTCTATATGAGTTCCAGGCCAGCTGGGGCTACAGGGAGAACCTGTCTCAAAAAAAATTATTTCCAAAAAAAGTCCAGGGACAGAGTTCTCAGCAATCCTTCCATGTGTAGTGACCCCAACTCCTTCGTCTGTGCGTCTGAGCTGCTTACCGACCGAGGCTCAGTTGCAACAGATAACGGAAGCTGTGCAGTGTGAAGACTTTGCCTTCTGCCTTTCTTTTCTCTGTCCTCTCTCATTCTTCTCTCTCCTTTTCTCCCTCCCTTTAAAAAAGATTTTAAAATTTGTTTTTTCTTTTTTAAAAATATTTTTCTTATTTTTATTTTATGTGTATGAGTGTACTGCCTGCGTGTGTTAGTGCACCTGTGTCATGTAAAGCTTGTGGGGGTCAGAAGAAGGTGATGGTCCCTGGAACTGGAGTTATAGACAGTTGTTAGCCACCCTGTGGACACTGGGAACCAAACCTGGGTCCTCTCAAGAGCAGCCAGTGCTCTAAACTGCTGAGCATCTCTCCAGCCCCTTCCTTCTTTGTTAATTGAGGTGTTTCCCTCACTGGTTTTCACACTCTCAATTTTCCCAGTTCCACAAATCCCACTTAGCAGTTCCCTCTGTGAATACGCTTAGCAGCCAAGCTGAAGTCTGCCAGGACACCTGAACTTTGAACAGGGAGCTCTTCTCCTGACCTAGGTATAGACTGCACTTCTTTCCCAACCTTGCTAAATAAACACTTTTTGCCCTGAAGATCGAGGTGTTCTACAGAAAGTTTAAACCAATTAGGCTAAAGGGGTCCTGACTTTTATTCAGACGACTCTCAGCTTTTAGGAAACAAGACTGAGGGGCTGGAGAGATGTTCGGCAATTAAGAGCATTTGCTGCTCTTGCAGAGGACCCGGGTTTAGGTCCCAGCACCCATATGGCAGCTAGCATCGGTTCATAATTCCAGTTCCAGGGGAAGCCGATGCCTTCTTCTGACCTCTGTGGGCATTATATGACATGTGTGCACTTATACACATGCAGGCAATACATTCATACACAAAAAATAAAAATAAAATATTTTTACAAAAAAGAAAACCAGAATGAGACCCCCAAAATGTCTAATTGTACCTTGTCTGAGTCCTCATGAGTTTGAGTCCTTATGACCAAGAGTGATCCAGGGCCACCCAGCAGGTCTCTTGTCCCCTTTGGGCCAGTCATGAGGAGGTCAAGTATACTCACATGTTTTCTATTAGTTGATGGGGAGTGGAGGGAATGTCTGTCATGCCTTTGCAAGCTTGACATCAGGTCATAAATATCTAAAGAATTTCTTTCTTTGACTTGTTCTTGAGTTAAGACTCAAGACTGAGGACTGAGCCTGGAGCTGCTTGTTTTCTGCCAGGCACAAGGCCACACTGACAGACGCACACCCAGCAGTCCTTCCAGGGATGAACACATGTGCAGCCTATCTCTTACCATGTCAAGCTCGGTCCGAATATTCCAATGGAAAAAGATCTCTCTCTGCTTTTATGCAGTGATGCTCTGGTAAAAGGCAGATAATTTGCATCTCCAAATGCCCTTTGGTGTGGGTCCATCCTCTGGAGCCTGGCCAACCTACCCAGCATCACACCCTTAAAGACAACTGCCTCTCCCAGCAGCTGTCAGTTGCCCACAGTCCCTCAGCTAGGGCCTTCTTATTCACCTCCCCCTTCCGCCCTGTGCTGGAATTAGTCTGGGTTGACTTTGTGTAGATCTTGTGCATGCTGTCACAATTGCTGTGAATTCCAATGACCAATAGGCCTTAAAAATAACCGAGGATATGGAATTGGGCAGTGGAGGTTAGTAAGAGGCAGTAGAAATAGGGGAGGGGTCTGAATATGATTAAAATACATTGTATGAAACTCTCAAAAATTCAATTTAAAAAGATTGTAATGTAACCACAGCATGGATTGTGAATGGTACTTATAGGTCCCACATCTATCTGAGGAGTTATTGGCAATTTAATAAAGCTGACACTTAAAATTTGAGTGGCAGTTATATAGGCAAAAAGTCAGGAGAGAGACTGTTCAGGGAGAGAAGACAACAAGCAAAGTTGGGGTCCGATGGGAGGAGCAGGTGGGGGGCTGAGCGTGGAGAGGTCCACAGAATGCTGTCCTATCAGTGAGCCACAGGGCCAGGGAGCCAGGGATAGAGGTCAGGAAGCAGTTCTAAGTTTATCCATGGCTCACCACCACAGGTTTAATCCTTTAACATGATGGTTTAAAATGTTTAGGTGAGACCAGGGTAACTGCTTTGTGAGTAAACCACTTGCTCTGCTGTGCAAGCATGAAGACCCGAGTTCAAATCCCAAGAACTTATGCAAAGCTAGGCATGGTGTGGTGTTCTATGGTAAGATGTGAGGCTGGGACAGGAGAGTCCTCAGAAGCCTGTGGAACTCCCAGCCTGGCGGACAAAGCAGCAAACAACAGACTCTGTCTCAAACAAGGTGGAAGGCAAGGGACCCACACCCTAGCTGTCCTCTGACATGTGCATGTCCACACACGTGAATGAAAACACACCCAACACACACACACACACACACCATTCAAGGTCGTTCTACATTGCACAACTGGAGCTGCAAGACGCAGGCACACGTCTGTCTTTCCCACTGTTCTGTCCTCGATCCCAAGGCAAACGCCTGGAAAGAATGGTCTTTGATAGAATTCCCTGCTGGGTGAGGTGGAGCACGACTGTGAGCTCAACACTAAGGCTGGGGCAAGGATCTCAGGTTCCAGGGCAGGCTGGGAAACATCGAAATCCTGTCACCAACTCTTTATTGATGAGTGAAAGTTCTTGAATCTGATGAGAAAGCTTCATGCATTTCTTCCTCAAAGAGGAACCTGAAGCTTACCCCCAAGTTCAGGGACTACAGGAAAGCAAAAAGTTCTCAGAAAACCGAAGGCTGCAGTGAGAGCTCCCCAAGACAGAGCCCACAGGGCAGAGCGTGGCACTTCTAACGGGTAATATGTTATTGTTAAAAGTTACTCATGGAGGTATAATGGCTAAGAAGGTTGGGCAGAATTTGTGATAAGAAATCCATTTTTAATACCTTTTCAGGGAAGACATTTCTATACTGTGAGCCACATAGGAGAATCAGGGAGGTGCTGGAAGAGGAGCTCTACATAAGGAGGGATGAATGCCACGTTAAAAGTCCTCCTGCAGGTAATCTCAGTGACAGAGGAAGTATGTTTGTTGAATGAATAAGACATTGTCTATTGGATGGCAGGGTGATTATTTCATGTATGACAAAACTGCAACTATCAAAAGCAAAATAGGTTCCTGGAAAATTTGAGAACTCTTCTATAGTGTTTTACCTATGTCCAAATATACCTCTACATTCAGAGAGAACTGGACTAGCTTATCAGCATGTTTTGCTGTCCTACACTTTTGATGGCATCATTTATATATTTTTAAATGTATTTATTTTTGTTTCATGTGTATGAGTGGTTTGCCTACATGTATGTAAGTGCACCCATGTCATGCAATGCCTTCAGAGGCCAGAAGAGGGCATCAGATTTCCTGAAACTTGAGTACCAATAACTGTGAGCTGCCCTGTGAATGCTGGGAACTGAACCCAGGTCCTCTGTAAGAGCAGTGTGTTATGGACCCTGTGACTACTGAGGAAAGACCACCAGACTCGATTCAGATCGAGATAAAAGATTTTATTCAAGCTAGCTTGGACTGCAGTCACCACATTGGATTAGAGTGCTGCAGTGGGGAGGGGGAGGGAAAGGGACCTTTTAAAGCTAAAAACCTCAAAAAGGAGTGTGGACAAGGTGGTCCCCGAATAACAGGGTGGAGGGTGATCTCGGTCTACATGTCAAGGTGCCTAAAATAGCAAAACAAGCAGGTTACAGAAGCCAGAATCAGCAGTTCGTCATAGCATAATTTTGTTCTCTATATGTCTAGAGAGCAAGTGACCATGGAAGCATTCTCCTGGGAGGTAAGGGGGAGACAGGGGTCAGGGTTTCTGAAAACAATCCTTGAGCTAGAAATACACCATGGCCAAGCTTCTAAGATGGCTACTTTATTCAAAGTGGGGTCAGTTTGGTCAGTACAGGTGCTCCTAATCGCTGAGCCATGCCGCCAGCTCCGAATTATTTCTGCTTAATGGCAAGTAGAATTTTCCCTCATATGCTTGGGAAACATCATAAAATCTTTAGTCTTATCAATATAGATATGATCAATAGCTTCCCAGATGGTAGATTACCATCGATTACCCTGAAGCTTGTTAAAAGCAGCTCACTGGTCCCAGTGCCCGGGTCTGTCTTAGTAGGACTGGGGTCGGGCCCAGGCATTTTCATTTCTACCAAGTTCCCAGGTGAGGTTGATACTCCTGGTGTAGACACCTCTTCCCCTTGATGGCCACTGTCCTAGTAGAATGCAAGCCACTCGACTAGGTCAAAACCCCTTAAGATTTCATCCTAGAAACACACAGTTTAAGCATCATGATCTGGGGCTCACAGAGAGTCATTCTGAGAAGACTGGTCCCATGTGTCCATGGTTCCTTATCAACAATTGATCACTAGGAGCATATTTCATGCCTGTCCAATGGCCAAGTTTTTAACACAAGGCTTGTAGGTTCCTGAACTTGCTAGAAGAAATGAAAGAACCAGACCAGCAAGATCGCTTGACAGGTAAAGTGCTTGCTGAGCAACCCTCATGGCTTGAGATAAATCCCAGAATGCACAGTGTCCTCATTTCTTTCATGTTGCTGGGATGAAATGCCCTGACAAAAAGCAACTTTAAGTGAGAAAGTGCTTATTTGGATCACAATTCCAGGTCACAGGACATCACTGTGGGGAAGTCAAGGCAGGAGCTTGGAGCAGCTGGCCACACCCACAGGTGAGAGCGAGAAAAAGCACATGCCTGCTGTTGCTCAGCTGGCCACCTCGCTCTTACACAGCCAGACCCCACACTCAGAATAGTGCTGTTCTGTGCATCTACACTGGTCAAGGAATTTACTAGATACCAGCTGGCATGTCGAGATTGCAGAGTCTACGAGTTACTGAACAGAAGTTAAAATTATTTGAATTTTTTCCTCCCCTGGTCAAATCTCTGAACATGCCTACACAGGGAAGGATAGGAAATGTGGCTCAAAACTGGCTTTTCAAGTCCCCTATCCATTACCCACAGTGCACAGACATCCAAAAGGAATAATAGATATATTTTTAAAAATATTCTACTTAAGCCGTGCATGGTGGTACATGCCTTTAATCCCAGCATTTGGGAGGCAGAGGCAGGTGGATCTCTGTGAGTTCGAGGCCAGCATGGTCTCCATATGGAATCCAGGACAGCTGGGACTACAGGGAGATCCTGTCTAAAAAAAGACAAAAAAAAAAAAAAAATTCTACTTAAGCCGGGCATGGTGGTGCACACCTTTAATCCCAACATTTGGGAGGCAGAGGCAGGCAGATCTTTGTGAGTTCGAGGCCAGCCTGGTCTACATAGTGAGTTCCAGGACAGCTGGGGCTGCAGAGAGACCCTGTCTCAAAAAAAGAAAAAAAATTCTATTTATTATTTTTATTTTATGTGTATAAGTGTATTGTCTGCATGTATGTGAGTGCACCCATGTCATTCAATGCCACAGAGGTCAGAAGAGGACTTCAGATTTCCCTGGAACTGGAGTTAAGGAAGGTTCGTAGCCACCATGTGGGTGCTGGGAATCGAACCTGGGACCTCTGCAAGAGCAGTCAGTGCTCTTAACCACTTAGCCATCTCTCCAGCCCCAGCAAATATATTTTTAAAGGTGAGCTTCCCTTCCCTATGAGACCAGCCTGAGGCAGTGGCTAGAATCTACCCATAGTTTTGTAATTTGTTAAATTAGAATAGAAATACATATCAAAAGACCTCTGAGTAGAAAGTGTCTCAGGCATGAAAAGAGAAGACTCTCTAGAAGATTCTAGAGCTGGATCTGAGCCCTTTGTGCCCATTTCCCTCTTCCACCTTCTGCTCTCCCTTCTGGCTAGCATGCCAACACGGAGGCTCCGCTGGCTCAGCTCCCTGCTCGGTCCTGTCCCCCTCCTCCAGTGCACAGGCTGGGAGCCTAGGGAGGTCCGTTCTCTGAAAAGAGCAGCTGCCTCAAGGGGCATCCACACTTCTTTCTAGGCTGCTTCTGTTCCGCTGGATATCTCAGCTTCTGGAAACTTCTTCACCCAAACATTGTATCAAATACATACACTGTTAATAGTTTTTTGTTGTTGTTGTTTTGTTTTGTTTTCGGTCTTTTTGAGACAGGGTCTTGCTGTAGCCCCAGCTGTCCTGGAACTCACTGTGTAGACCAGGCTGGCCTTGAACTCAGAGATCCACCTGCCTCTGTCTCCTGAGTGCTGGGACTAGCATGGCTGCATTCTTGGCATCTGACAATTTTAGTTTTCGATCGTAACCTTCAGCACGCCTGCAAATTGTGTCAGGATGAGCACAGCTGACAGCCATTAGCATATAACACTTTCATCCAATTTGTTGTGGTTGGTCTGCAGAGTCCTGCTTCCAGATCTTAAACTGCTTTCTACCTACCAGATCCTCCCACAACATGCAACAAATCTATGTCTGTTTTACTGTTCTCCTAAGGCTGTTGTCACAGCCGCTGCTGAGTAAATACCCATGAGCTGCTGTGTTTGAGAGCCAATTGCCAGGGACTAGGAGCAAGTGTTCTTCCATCCCTAGGCAGAAGAGGAGACTGACTTGAACTGGAGGGGATGATCTAGGTTAGATACAAGGAACAGCTTCAGTTTTGTGAGATCTCGACAGAGGAAGTTGTGAAGTTGTCCTTAAAAGTCCTTGAACTAGGACACCACTCATCTTGATAGGCCACTTCACCTATTTCCCCTGGGGCGGGGGTGGGGGGCTGCTGCACTGCTCAGCTGGCAAGTCCTCTGCCACTGGAAGTGAAGCCTGAGTTTGCACTTGGACAGTAAAATCCTTGTGAAAATAATAGCAACCATTTGTTAAGCACAAAGCACTCTCTAGCCATCTGATCTGCATCCTAAAGAACGCTTCAAGGTAAATATTACCCCCATTTCAAATCTAAGCAAATGGAGACACAGTGGGTAAAAACAACTTGTTTAACCACAGAGCTGATACTGAAGCCCTGCTATCCTTGAGCCCAGAGACCATGCTCCTTCCTGGTCATGACTCAGTATGACTCTTATTTTATTTTATGTGTATGAGTGTTATGCCTGCATGTATGTAAGTGCACCTGTGTGTACAAGGAGGACAGAAGAGGACATCGGATCCCCATGTGGGTACTGGGATTCAAACCCAGATCTTTTGCAAGAGCAACCAGTGTTCTTAACCACTAAGCCATCATCTCTCCAACCCCAGTATGACTCTTTTAGGCAGGGACAAAGTGTCAGCTTGAGTGTAGGTGAGAGTGCCAGTGGGCAGCCCTGAGGAGGCTATCCAGCAGTGGGCAGTCATGGGTCAGTATTAAAACTTGCCAGACCAGACTGAGGCACTGGCTGACTCTTTGGCATAAAGCATGATTTTGTAATTTTTAGAATTTAGAATAAAAATACACATAAAAAGACCCCTGAGTAGAAAGGGTCGAGGGCACGAGAAAAGGTGCTCTAGAAGATCCCAGGACGGGATGTCAACCCCTTGTCCCTGCTGCTCTTTGCCAAGAGTATTTCATGGACTACTTGATGGCTGACTTTGAAAACCTACACAGGTGATTTTAAGATACAGAGGACAGTCACATACAAATCACTAGTGGAACTCACTATAGTTTTGGGCCAGTGTAGACACTGTCTTGAGGGTGTTGAGCCGCCGCACAGCAGGGCCCAGCAAACTTGCCATGCTGCTTTCAGAGGGGGGCTAAGCCACATCTGGATCACAGCACTGAAGAGCGCTGGGCTTCCAAATGAATCAGTGTGGTAACTTTCAGTTTTCTTATCTGTGGGAATGTTTCTACTTATTGCAAGAATTAAATCAGGATCAGGTTAGGTGACAAGTTCTCCGACTTCTATTTTACGCTTATCCTTTGTTTTGCTGTGTTGTTCCTATACTGACCTTCCATGTCTCTGTGGAGACCCAAGGAAATGTGTAAGAACATGCAATGGTTAAATTCCATGGAAGAATAGTTGGATGCAGGAAATGGATTGAGGATGGATTAAATGGCAAAGATTCTAGGGACTAATTAATTAAGCCAATATACCTCCACCAAATAGTTGGAAAAAACAATCAGAAGTAAAATACTTTTGGAACATTTTGTGCTGAAAAGAGAATACGCTAATCACCGTTGTCTTGTTTTAAAAATATCTGCAGTGGCTCTGGATGGGGTTTGGAGCATTCAGAGGAATCTCCCTGTGGGAAGTGCAAAGCCAGGACAGCCGAGTCGGAACAGTTTACTCCCACAAGCCAAGTACTATTCAAGACACGGAGGCCCGAGAAGTAAGACCCTAGACTGCCGAGGCCCCGCCCGTGGGGCAGCACAGGGTATAAACTGGTGGTTCACGCTCAGAGATCTCGGTCAAAACCCAACCCTTTGACCGCCTCTCAGGTCACACTTTGCGACTCCACACTGTCATCGCAGAATCCTACAGACACGGAGAAGTTCAGACCCAGACTTACGGGTCGGATTCTTTTTCTCCTTTTGCACAGTAGTTTCTTGCACACAGCCTCTGGGGGAGGAACTGTGTGTGTTCTCTCTTCTTAAGTGGATGAGGAAAGGAGGTGAGGGTCCACCCTGGACCAGGTACCTGGGCCACCTATCTGGTGTCCTCCTCATTCCTCACAGCCACAGCGAGTGTCTGTCAGAACACCTGTAGCCGGATATGGGAAGGCAAAGGTCTTCAGATGGAAGGAGTGTGTGCACAACACAGACACAAAGCCAGGGACAAGAGTCCTAAACGTCAGTGGACACCTGGGAAGTCACACTTACAACATTGCAGCCATCACAAGGTGTAGGCATAATCCAGTTTTCAGATGTGGAAACAGAGGCTCAGAAAGGCTGAAGAATTTGCCCAGTGCTAGGCAGCCAGCTAGTGGAAGTGTTGCTTTAAACCCAGGCAGCCGCTCCAAAGCCATGCTCTCAACCAGGAGGAATTCCTGGGTCTCTGCACCACACTGTGCCCAGGAGCTGGGGTGTCTGCTGACCTTGAGCGAGGTACAGACACAGTGAAAGTGCCACAAAGGAAGCAGCCAGGGACAGACCTGTGGGAAATCGACTCAGTGCGGGGGGGTGATGTAGCCACTGAGGGACTGAGGCACAGGGTTAAAGACCAAAACCAAACAGGGCTCAGTTGTGGAGGCCTGGGCCTAACAGTGACAAAGTCGCCATTATTTACCACGTGCCAGGCCTGGCAGCAAGTGTCTTACATAGATGTGAACCCCCATGATCATGAGTTGAAGATTATCAGCTCCATCCTACAGGAAAGAAAACTGAGGCACAGGAAGGGCATTAGAGGACCTAAGAGCCCCACATCTTGGAGGTAGTGGATCTGTTATGTCTAGCCTGTGCAAACCTGTCTCCCAAGGCTGTGCTCTTAACTGCTGGGTCATTATGACAGAGATTCTGATCACTGGACAGTGAAGGTGGATCCAGTCACAGGGTAACGGTTATCTAGGCACGAGCACCAGGGCTGTGGAAAGGCAGTATTAGAATCCTAGAGGCAAGTACATTTACAGCCCACAGAGATAACGGTGACCTGCAGCAATGGCCAATCCAGCTTGTAATCCCAGCACTGGGAAGAAGGCTAAGACAGGAGGATCCCTGGAGCTCTGGTCAGCCAGCTGAGCCAAGTGGATGAGAGGTTCAGAGAGAGACCCTGACTCAAAGAACAAGGTGGAAAGAGGTTTAAGAACCCTTCATTGACCTCCAGCCTCCAGTATGCACGTGCACACATGTGCATGCACACACTCGCACATACATACCCTGTGAGGGGTATGACGTGTGTGACATGCATACACACGCTCATGCACACATTCACCCAGCTCTGTGAAGGCAGGGACAGTGTCTTTCTTACCACAGTGTAGCACAGATTGCAGTTTGTCATAAGAGTGACTATTGAGTGATGGAGCCAGGGAGTCTGTGCTGAACGTGGGAAGCTTCTCGCTGCTAAGTACACACATGCATCTCCCCGAGGGTCTGTGCTTTTCTCTACTGTATTAAATGCAGAAGAGAAGAACTGTGAAAATGTGCATGTACTTATAGACATCCTGGAAATAACAGATTTCTGTGGCTCACAGTATTTCTTTCCAAGGACCTCACCATACAGAATGCCTAACTACTTATTTGTGATCTTTTTGTGTATGTGGGGGGGGTCTTTTTGACACAGGGTCTCCCTGTAACTAACCCCAGCTGGCCTGGAACTTGCTATGTAGACCAGGCTGGCCTCAAACTCACAATCTGCCTACCTTTGCCTCCCAAGTGCTGGGATTAAAGGTGTGCACCACCATGCCTGGCTTCATCTTTTCCTTTTTAAATGAACAGTGTGATCAGGACAGTTGTGCCTCTCCCGACATCTCATACACATCAGCTAGCATTTAAACTCAGAGCCATGGCTGTCCAACTAGTTCTAAAGCCTGGTTAGAGACGGCACAGCACCTACTGCCCATCGTATCGGGTTTTAGTCGCTTGCTTTTGTCATTTCCTCCTTTTTCTGCACCATGTAACAAACCAAAAAGAAAAAACAAAACAAAACAAAAAACCACTCAGCTACTGCTAAGCTTGACTGTGCCCATGAATCACACAGGGTCCTTGTGACAACTCCGGTTCTGGTTCAGGTTGGGTGGGGTTCCGGAGTCTATTTCAGGCCAGCAGCCGGGTGAGGCTGACACTGCCTGGACTGCGCTCAGCAGTGGGGCTTGAGAACTGAGCTGTGGCTTCCCGGTCACCATAAGCGGGTGGTTTTTACATTCTTCTCTGAAAGTGAGCCACCATGACCACTCCGTGTTTAGATGGAGGGGAGCTGGGATTAGAGCGCGTCTCCCCAGACGAAAAGGCATTTATTCACTTACTCTTTTTCTCACTCTAGGATAGGAGACGGACGCCATTTTCCACAGAGACAAACTTTCTTTCCCCTAATGTCTGAAGAACAGAAGAAACCCAAGCTTGTTTCTCGATTTAAGATGTTTGAAAAAAGTGTTTATTAGTCTATAACATCTATTTATAAATCAGTCCAAAGCCAGGAAACACGATTGGGAAAATGGGCTAAAGAAAATGACTTATTTTAGGTTTTCACAGTGGGGATGCTTTAGGGTCTCGTTCAGCTTATTTTATTAAATATATGAAACAGGCACAGTTCCTTATTTCAAGGTAAACACAAACTCAACTCTGTAGTGTGATGTCCTAGTCGTCCCTTCAGCGTTTAGGTCCCGAGGTTGATTAGTATGTGGCCAAGACAGTACAGAATGCACAGTGTACGGTGGTCGGGAAACGGCCTTTGATTCAGAGACAATCGTTTTTATGCAGCCTTCCTGGCCCTGTTGCTGCTCTAGAATTTGCTTGCTATATAGTCAGTCAGGAGCCAGGACACGTACGCATCTCCATGAGTTTAGAAAGATATTAACAGGAGGAGACAAACCCCTCACCCACTTCATCATTGTGATGTATCTGCAGCATGGAGAGATGGGTCGATAAAGAAATGTGAAGAGGATCCGGACACGGCTGGTAAAGCACTCGCCTAGCACGAGAGGCTGGGCTTTGGTCCTCTGTAACCTCATAACTGGGGCATGGTGGTGCATGACTGTAATCCCAGCACTTGGGGGAGGAGGCAGGAGAATCAGAAGTTAAAGGTCATCCTTGGCCACACAGAGAGTTTGAGGCCAACCTGAGCTACATGAGATTGTCTCAAAAAACAACAACAAAAGAAATATAAAGGGAAAAAATCATTTGTAATTTAACTTCCAGAAACAATCACTGATAGAATGTTGATGCATTTTGGTCTTTGTTTCCTACTCATATTTTTTCTTGTTTGACCTCTGGGTATATAGTGTATGCCATATACAGTATGTAGCATTTGGCATCCTATTTAATACAAGATTACAGAATTTCCAATTCCTTTATCATGTTAAATAATTGCATACTTTTTTTTTTTTTTTTTTTGGTCTTTTTGAGACAGGGTCTCCCTGTAGCCCCAGCTGTCCTGGAACTCACTATGTAGACCAGGCTGGCCTTGAACTCACAGAGATCCGCCTGCCTCTGCCTCCCAAGTGCTGGGATTAAAGGCATGTGCCACCACGCCCGGCTAATTGCATACTTTTTTTAAACTAAAACTGGATGCAATAGTTCAGGCCTGTAATCCCGGTACTTGGGAGGCAGAGACTGGGATGGCCGAGGGTTGGAGGCTGGCCTGGGCTACCTGGTGAGTTCCAGGCTAGTCCAGGCTACAGAATAAGACCTTTGTTCAAAATAACACCAAGAAAAAATTGAGTGCTTAATCCCCTTAGTCTATTTGTTAGATATTTGGATTTTTCCCGTTTTTATTTTATCTCTGTGGCGGTTTTCCCAGGCTCCAAAGGTTCTGAGTCTTCTGACAGACGCTCCTTCTCCCTTCCTCTCTCAGATGACCTCATCTTAAATCCTTTTCAGTTCATTGGTCTCAAGTTCATTACTGTTTTTGATATAATAAAGTCTGACCAATAGTGATTTGTTGACCGAGTATGTCCTACCACCACTTAAAAATATTTACACTGTGAAACAGTCCATGTCTTGAGTCAAGATCCAAGCTTTTCCAGACTTAATAAAAAAATTTCCATTTAGTCAAAACACCCTGGACGGAGAGAGGTGGAGGTGCCACCGTGTTCTCGGAACTCTTCCATCACGGTTTCTTTAAAAACTGCTGCAAGCCAGCAGCCGAGCCCAAGCTGCATCTTAATCAAGAAGAGAAATGACAAGACTGCCTGGAACTAGGACAAAGTGCTGACCAGCCCTGCAGGTCTGAACCTTAGGCTCCCAAGACATTCACCTTTATTTATCCTTTTGGCACGTAAGGAGTCACATTAAAGGTGCTGTTAGTCACTGGTTAGGAACCTGTCCTTTTCCTTCTTGAGTGCCCTGTGTGATTTTATAAACACACTCAGGGGTTTCCGTTCTCACTGACACTCCTGCCAATAAACCCTTGCCACACCCACCCACCCACCCACCCACCCGTTGGTTTATTTTCAGGTTGGCTGCCTGGCTGCCTGTCTGAATCTGTTCCGTTCTGACCAGCCTCTGACACTGACTAGCGCTGACCTCCTGGCACTGTCCTCACTTTCGGTCCTGTTCCCCGTCAGCCTGCTTTGCAGTTGTTTCCTGTTCCTCGCGGCCACTGCCTCTTTCCCCGGGGGATACACGCACGGGGCATCTCATGTCAGCATTATATATAGTGGTCAATAACTGATACCACATAACTACCCAGCGTAGGGCTGGCTTAGAAAATCACCATGTGATACAGTAGTTTGGTTTGCATTTTAAATAAACATTTAAAAATAAAATCTTGATCAGGGAGATGGCTCAGTGGGTAAAAGTACTTGCTGTGCAAGCCCATGACCTGAATTTGATCCCTGGAACCACGTAAAGCCTGATGTGGTAACATGCTCCAACAAATCCGAGCACTCTGGTGAGACGAAGCCTGTAGGACAGCTACCTGCAGGATGTGGTGAGGGAGCAGAGACCACAGAGACTGCCTTAGAATGTGAGGGAAGGCAAGAACCGACTCCTGGAAGTTGTCCTCTGACCTCTGCCCCTGTACTCATACCTGAACACACACACACACCATCCACCCACATATATCCACACATACCACACATACACACCACACATACCCACATATGCCATATATCCACACAGGCATCCATTCACACATATCACACACCACACATACCATTCATCTGTACACAACCACACACACCATACATACACACCATACACATACACACAGACACATGACACACATACCATCCGTACACCCACACAGTATATAAAATAAAGCCCCTTTTAACACCAGAATTACAAGGACACTTTAAAGATGACAAAAATGTATAGTGATCTTCACCAACACCAGTTTTACCTTTAACAACAAAGGACAACGGAAGCCTTCCTCCCGGGGCCCAAAATAAAATGAAAATGCGTTTCCCAAAGATGCCTGCCACAGCACACTTTCACTGCACCTGTTCGGTCCATCCTCCCTGGCCTGGGGGTTGAGCTTCCTCTGTTCCTGCCCAGGATCCTCACTGCAAGTCCCCTGCCCACTGCTGCCCTCAGGACTCACACCCCATTTCCCAATATGGCCAAAGAGCTGTGGCAAGTGCACCTGTGGGCCACACAGATTAAAGACTAGAAGGAAAATTATAAAACCCAAATGGCAGATTATTCGCTGCCTCATCTGGGCAAGTGTCTTTTGAAAAGTCAGCTCTGTGCGACACTCTGGTTTATGATGTCAACACAGCCTTTGTTCCTGACTGACATGTTTATACAGATGGAAGTTATACAATGAGGCTTTTCATAAAAAGACATATTACACATTTTATATGATTTTTAAAAAATCTTTTTATTGAATTTTTGTGTATTTCATACAGAACATCTTAGTGAATCTTAATCATCTTTATACCCCCATCCCCGCTGGTCCCCTCCCATAGGCACTCCCCACACTGGAATTCATACATTCTGCCATTTGTGTTAAGGCCTATTGTGTTTAATTCCCTAGACATTCCTCAGTGCAAGTTCATCCACTGAGGTCTAGTCAGCTTATCTAGAATCTCCCCACCCCCCTTTAGGAAGATCAGCTCTTCCTCACCCAGCAGTAATCAGCTGCCAATAATTCTTCAACTAAGGTTAGGGGCTGATGCCTGTTTCTACAGTTCTGTGCTGGGTTGGCCCGTGGTTTTCAATGAATCATTATGACCATTTCCCTATGTGATATATGCTTGTCGCAGTCCTGGTTCTGTTCATACACTATGTCATGGTATGGCTTTACTCTATGTGGCCCCCGTCTCTAGCACAGGCCTTCGGCATGTCCCAGTCTCTACCTCAGAGCCTTCATTTTACTTCCAGTTTCTCTAACTTGACATTTTTATCTTCCTATTCTTTAAAAAAAGGAAAAAAAGGAATCCTTTAGGTTTTTCTCACAAATTCATACTTTGAAAGGACTAGACCAGAAGGACTTTGATTTTATTTTGAGACAGGGTCTCCCTGTAGCCCCAGTTGGCCTGGAACCTGATATGTAGACCAGGCTGGCTTTGAACTCACAGAGATCCGCCTGCCTCTGCCTCCCGGGTGCTGGGACTAAAGGCGTGACCCACCATGCCCAGCTGTTATTACTTTTCTCCTTTTTGAGGCAAGGTCTCACTATGTAGCCTTGGCTGGCCTGGAACCCGATATGTAGACCAGGCTGGCCTCAACCTCCTCTGAGGTGTACCACCTCTGGGGTGCCAGGCCAGAAGGACTTGGAAAATAAGTTGAGAGTCAACACCATTCATTATACCAGCTCCAGCCTCCCTAGTTCCTAGAATGCAGCAGGCCAGTTTACACACACACACACACACACATACACACACACACACACACGGAGCGTGCTCTCTGTCTCCCTCTCCCTTCTACACACACACAGAGCTCTCTCTCTGTCTCTGTCTCCCTCTCCCTTCTACACACAGAGCGCTCTCTCTCTCCTGTCTCTCTCTCTCTCTGTCTCCCTCTCCCTTCTACACACACACACACACACACACACAGGACAGGGACTCGGAGGTCAACATGGATGAACCCGGTGGACATAATGTTACATAAACCCAGTCATGAAATGACCAGTACGATAGGATCTAGTTAATTGGGAATTTAAATGGTCAAACACATAAATAGTCGAATACGTAGACCATGAAAGGCTGGCTGCCTGGACTGGGGTGAAGCAGAAGGAGCACTGCTAATCAACAGGTACAGGGGCCAAGGAGATGCCTCAATAAAGTGCTCGCTGTGTAAACATGAGGACCTGAGTTTGGATCCACAGCACCCTTGTCAAATCTGTGCGTGGAAGCAGGTGTCTACTGTAACCTCAGCAGAGACAGGAGGAGCCCAGAAGGTAGTGTAGCCCATCAGAGAGCTCCAGGTTCAGTGAGTGACCCTGCCTCAAGAAACAAGGTGGACTTGACGTCAACCTCTGGCCTCCACATATACACACACGTGTGCACGTGCGCACACACATG